CGATATGTGGAAGCTTTGACGTTCCATTGAATTATTAGAGAAATAAGACGTTTCGTTGTACCGTTCTCGACTCTTAACCTTGTCTGAAGCCAGCCCCACCCCCCTCTTCCACGAAGCGCGGAAGCTTTGACGTTTCATTAAAGTATTAAAGAAAGAAGTCGATTTGTTGTACCTTTCTCGACTCTTAATTATTGTCTGAATTCGGTTCCACCACCCCCCTCCTGCGCGAAGCGCGAAAGCTTTGACGTTTCATTAAAATTATTAAAGAAAGAAGACGATTCGCTGTACCGTTCTCGACTCGGCTCAAGGGTTTTAGGTACTAAATTGCGGTCAGCTGAGTATCAACGGCCCGCCTTAGGGCCCTCGGTTGGGTCCAGGGCCAGAGCCCCGGAAGCCCAGGGATTTTAGGCGTTTAATTACGGTTAATACCTTGTTTTGTTGTGACAATGGCAGTTAACTATTTTTTTCTTACTTGCTCTCTTTCTTTCCATTTCTCTTTATATACTATTTCAAAAAAAAGTGGAGGGAGGGGGGGGGGGGGAAGGACCTCAAGGCTCCCGATCCCCGCCGTTCCACGGGCCCTGACGTGTAGACCCCTAGGCATCTCAAGAAGCATATTTCTTGTCTGGCTGTAAACTTAGGAATTTGTCATTTTACAACAAACGCATAAAAAAGTATAATTTACTAAAAAATATCGGAAAATTATGTCATTTCAGCATTAGAAATAAACCACGTTTGAATTTTATTTCCCCCGAGCCCCCTCCCCAATCAGTACGCCAGTGCCCCCCACCCCTGATTTACACTTTGTTGGCAACTGATCTCTCCTACGTTTTTTCTTTCTCTCTTTTTTTCTTTCCCTTTCCTTTCCCTTCATTCTCTCTCTTTTAGGTTTTCCATCTCCCCTTCTTTTCACCCTTTTTTCTTCTTCCTCACTTTTGGTCCCTTTTAGCTCTTTCTTTTTTTCATTTACCTTCCTTCTCTCTTTTTTTTTAGCAGGGGCGGGGGGAGGCAAAGGCCTTTTGCCCCACCCCCATCCCGATCCGCAACTTGTTGGCGGGAAAATTGCAACTGATATCCCCCTTCTTTTATTTACTTCTTTCTCAATTTTCCTTCCCTTTATTTCCTCTTTAGTGACTGGTCCCTCGGAAACTAGTGCTAAGCCAGTCACAGAGAATTCATGATTTCAACTGATGCCTGTCAGTGTATAGTAAACTCCTAAACTCCTTGGTATTTTATCATTATCATTTATTTCAGTCGGCATTTTCCCTCTTAAAAAAATTACTTGTTACATAGCTGTATACTTTTATCCCCGTGATCAGTTGCGGATCCAGGGGGGAAAAAAAGAAGGAAACAAAAAAAAGGGGAATTTTGTTTTTTTTGCTGTTGAAAAAAAAGTGTTCCCATCCTTGTAGCTACTTGCGGCCTCTATATAACAAACAATGCCTAATCGGTGACCATTGGTCCCCCATGATCCTCTTTGTCTTATGTTAACTGAGAGCTGAGTTGATGAGATAACCACCTGTCCAGTGACCTTGTAGGGCGGTCTAATCCCTCCTGTAAACTATGGCGGATAAGCTTTAAGTCTAACGTTAACGTTAAATTTGTTATTAAAATGTAGAGTTCAGCCCTTGGCCTTAGGCCTAATTTAGGTCGTAACTGTTACTGTTTGAAAATCTTAGGTAAAATTAGAAGGTTCTCATGGTTATAGACCAAGTAATTGAGAAAAAAAGTTTACCCGTCACTGAGACCAGGTCAATCAATCTTCTAGATCCATTATTAGGGTCTAACGCTAGTAGATATAATGTAGATGCAGGCGCGGATCCAGCGGGGGTGAGCGGGCCTTGCCCCCCCCCCCCTTCCGCAAAAGAGAGAGAGAGAGAAGGAAAAGAAGGGAAAGGAAAAGAGGAGAGAAAGGGACAGAAAGCAGATGAAGAAGAAAAGAAAAGGGGGACGAAGGAGATCGGTGGGTTTGCGAAAGGGCCTTGCCTCCCAGGCTGTTGCCTCCCCCCGCCCCCGTTAAAAAAAAGAGAGAGAAGGAAGGAAAAGGAAAAAAGGAGAGCTAAAAGGGACCAAAAAAGAGGAAGAAGAAAAAAAAGGGTGAAAAGAATTTCGATACGGTGTTCGAGTAGAATTCTGTGAGATGATGATATACTTTTTCGTAGCTTGATGTGACGAGGTGTCTCTATCCAGATATCTGTTGATAGTATTATAGAATATAGAAGCCTGAAATGACCTTCTACTTGTAACCGACAAGTCACCGCATTAAAATTAAATTGCAAATAGTGTTCAACAACACGATGATGGATGAAACTTTCTAATATTCGAAGATATATGACCTTCAGACCATATTGTTTTATTACTTTTTTATTCAATCAATCAACGTCAAAGAATTGATTCATCATCGCTCTTCAATTCATTATTTCACCTTTTAATGTACTTGTATTCTTATGAATCACGAAATAACACTGAATTGGATTCTTCAATGTTTGTTTTGATTAATTTCCTCCCCGTTCCTTCTCCCTGTTTAATACTGATAAAATTTTCGATTTTTCTTAATCAAGGCAAAATATTATTTTCATAGTTTCTTTATGCAAGACAGGAAGAGAGAGAGAGAATATGTTAAGTGAGAATTATCGAGTACAACTACGAAGTGCATCCTTTTCAATATTATTCAATCAGCTAAAATATTCAGAATCTGAATATGATAAATCCACATAATACACCAACGCTAAATGAAAATTTGAAGAAAAATCAAATTTACAATGCACTGACAGGCATCAGTTAAAATCATGAATTCTCTGTGACTGGCTTAGCACTTGTTTCTGAGGGACCAGTCACTGAAGATCGATAATTTTACATGTGCCTCGAAAAAACAGCTCAAATACAGTACATTTGATCGACATCCTTCATCAATAAATGAAAATACTAAGCATGTATTAGCTATGAAGGTGTAAAAATCAAGTATCAATTCACACCTTTATACAAAATACACACAAACACACACGCTCACACACACACACACACACGCACACACACACACTATCTATTTCACTCTTATTCCATCTTCACCTTTCCCTTTTCTGTCGCTTTTTCCATCTTTCTTTCTTCCTCCATTTTCATTCAATTTTCATGTCAATTTTTCTTTTTCGCTGCTAAATATTTATTTCAGTCATAATTGTTCTTCTCCTCACATGGGGTTGAACACCCTGACGACAAAGGCTGGTATCCACAGGGATCCATCGCCCCTATAATTATTCTATGATCGTTGTTCTCTTGTTTCTTGTGTACTCTATCTCTGCCGTCTCTCTCTCTCTCTCTCTATCTCTCTCTGTATCTATCTCTCTGTCTCTCTCTGTATCTATCTCTCTGTCTCTGTCTCTCTCAATCTATCTCTCTGTCTCTCTCTCTCTATCGTCTCTCTCTCTCTCTCTCTCTCTCTCTATCTCTCTCTCTCTCTTTCTCGCAATCGGGGTAGTACTATCCAAAGTTCTTGTAAACGTATAGTCATTGTAAACATTGTTCCACTTTGTGTGTGTTCTCTGCATTCTATATTGTATATAATCAGTATCTTATGTGTTTTTTTATGGATTCGAATTGAAATAAAACTTGAAACTTTAAAATCGAATCGCATGCAAAATGTTTTTTTAAAGGAATAGGCTTTTTATCTAAACTAATATTGTTGCCATGATTTATTTTGGAAAATATTTTACAGTGCAATTTTACTTTCGTATCTATTAATAAGTTTCAGTTGTATTACAACAATTGATATCTCTCACGATTCCTCTTGAAGCCACCATCGCGTGCTCTAACTTGACAAGGTTTGTTTTAAGAACAATTGAAATTTCTCCCAGGAAATCTTACATTCAAAGCTTTTGCTCTAAAGGAAGACTGATCAAAATAAATATGTCACAATGTTACAGGAGATATGAGGTATTTTTCATAATCATGACCGTGTAATGGACCAGTGGTGGCCTGATGATGAAGACGCTGCCTTGCTAGCAATATATCGTAGGTTAAAATCTGACTTGCTTCCAATAACAAGATCGAGCATGCAATGGTTTTTTTATTGGATGCAAGCCTTTTTTTACAACAGCATGTTACCTAATACCATTTTTTGCATAATTTACACATCAGAGGGAATGGGTGGTATCCTCAAAAGCAGACTAACTTTAGTCCATGACTTAATCCACCGACTAAGTATGGAATGCCAAGTGTTCATATGAATATATTTTTGAATAATTTAATCTGTCACTAATTAAAACAAAATTAATAACACAATAAATAAACAACAATATAACTATGATATAATTATGTTATGGTAATTTAGGGACATATCAAATTATTCAAAAATATATTAATATGGACACTTGGCATTCCATACTTATTAGGTGGATTAAACCATGGACTAAAGTTATTCCGCTTTCGAGAATACCATCCAATGTATTCAAAAGAGTTCTCTGTATTTGAAATTCATTTGAAAGGTAGATTGGTAGATGGTAAATTTGACCGACCAGGTGATCTGAGAAAGATTAATACATTTCTTTAAAAGACTCTATGTTGTCTCTCAATACCAATTGACATTTTAAGTCGAACCCTAAGGGTTAGATTTGTTGTTAAACTTACCATAACATACCATCCAGTTATTGAGAGTCAACTATTAAATGAAGAGAATCTGAAAAAGACCTTTAGCTTATTGTATTTTTCCATTTAGTCTACTTAGGTTTTTACATGTATCAACAAACTTAAAGTAAATGAAACACCTGGATATGATGCAATTTTGAGAACGTCAGACCATATATTAACACTTAAAACCACAATTGAACAAACAAGGCTGGTGAAAAGAGTCATGTCTATTTTTTGCTTTGTTGATCTGCTGAAAAAGAATGGTGAAGTGTGACGTCATCAACAATAAGAGCGATATAACACTGGGTTTCTATAGGGAATATTTTTATTCAGATAGTCATATCTCAGCAAATACTTAACATATTCAAAATGTGTGATGCTCTTTTGGAAAATGAAGAAAACATTGAGAAATCAAAAAAATAGATTTGTATGATGTCACAGCTTCGGTACTATATTAGCCTTCGATAGTGTTTGGAGGAAAGGACTGTTTTATCTAATGTTGACATGTGGAATCGGAGGCCAGTTTACGAAATTATTACTGACATGTATAACAACCTTAAACTGAGTGTAAAGCTGAATGAAAGGATAACCTAGTATTTTGAAACCAATTGTCGCGTAAAACAAGGCTGTACTTTAAGTCCCACCCTGTTTAAGCTATACCTAAATGACCTGCCACATGAGTTGGGAACTATTGATACTCATCCCGTGTAATTGAATGGAAAGTTTAGTGAATTGTTTAATGCATGCAGGTGACATTGTATTGATATCAAAGTCAAGAATTGAAATGCAAACATAATAGAAAGACTTTATGTGTACTGTAATAAATGGCTGTCGAATGTTAATATTGACAAAATGAACATGACTATTTGTAACAAGAACGGAAAGATGTTGAAAGATCAAAATTTCAAGGTGAATGGTTAAAAGATTGAAATCGTTAAACAGGCAACATATTTAGGTCTTGTCTTTAATAATTATGGAACATTCAAGGACACGAGGGTTAATCTAGCAAATATATGAAAGACAGTTTTATTTAAATTATTCCAATAATTCGGGTACAAGTTCCCTAATATTAAAAAAGCAACACAATTATTAGAAATATAAACCAAAATTGAAGATTTTGGCAATGCCAGTTCTAAATTGATTTATGTAATGAGTGTGTACATGGCAAGAACACGATCAATTGAGAATATAATTATATACTATTTAAGCAGAGTATACAAACAGAATCATATGTATTAACCGTTAAAAACCGTACAATTACGAACAAATATCTGCAGACTGAGAATTAGTTCATCTAGGCGATAGAAACTGGAAGACATAGACGACTGGAAAAAATACCTTCACATTAAGTACTTGTAATGAATGTAACTTAGGAAGGGTTGGGGATGAATTTCATACCATAATGGATTGGACTGTATATAAGTCTGAAAAGGGAGTATTTCTCAATAAAATGGCTGAAATATCTGGACAATTTAAGGAATTCAAAATTCCTACTTTGCTCTTAATTATAAGAGTTATATCAATTTTTAACATTCGAAGGGATCTAATGATTCTAATGTTATCTTTTTTTTAAATTGAATTAACGCGTTTATGTCTTACATTTCCAAAACTTAATTACAGAGATGAAGTATGATGGTATCCAAACTTAACAATAATATGGTGTATTTATATGGCACATCATGTGATTATAAACCTCAGTGCCCCTACAATTGCTATTAGAAATAACATTCTTAATACATTTTTTTGATTCGAGATCATGATATGATTTTCAATATTATTCTTCATCTACATCTGTAACTAATTTCAAATTATTTATTTGCTACTGTTTCATCTTACATAAACAACAATGATTGCCAATGCATTTACAAAACGTATGGACTTTAAACTATATACACCCTCTACATACCAATGTAAATCAATGCATTTACAAGTGCTATTAGCAATTACATTCTTAATAAATTTTTCGATTAAAAATCATGATATGATTTCAAAATTATTCTTCATCTACATCTGTAACTGATTTTGAATTATTTATTTGCTACTGTTTCATCTTACATAAAAAAAAAAACAATGATTGACAATGCATTTACAAACCGTATAGACAATATTGTCTGATTTAAACATTACATCATGTGCTTGAAGCCAAGGAACACTGAGTTCAGCACAAAGTAGAAACAAACAAACAAAACATTAAACAATATATTACCTTTACATACCAACGTAGCATTAACATAATAGTGCATTAAGGGGTGATGATACACAAGGGCTTCAGTCTGAACATGGCGTGATGTGCTTGAAGCCAAAAAACATTGAGTTCAGCACAAACTAGAAACAGACAAGCAAACACACATTCAAACAAACCAACCAAATAATGCAGTACTCTCAGGCAATCGTCGAACGTTTTTGACCTGGGCGGCGAACGACGAAGTATCCAATGAGTTATAGAACCACGACATCTACTATGACCACGCCCACTGCAATGCCTATAATAGCTCCAGTTAACAAGCCCCGCCCACCATTGGTAGTAGCTGGAATTCAAGAGAGATGAAGAAAGTGAAACATAATTAAAAGAATACTCTCAAGACCTGTCTTGAATAAAACTTTAATAATAATTTGAGTATGTACATTTTGCGTTTAAAATTAGAGTTTAGAGTCCGGTGACCGGTGGAGGCCCTTCGATGTTGTGTTCATGTATTTATATTTAACCAATATACCAAAGTAAAACTCTTAATTGCTTGTATTGAATATCATTTATCGATCTAAATTCTTGAAAAAGGTCAGTTTGTCATGTTCGACCGAAGTTTGGTGAACTTTTTTATATCAGTGTAATTCGTACCCCATAATAAATGTATATAATAAATTAACTCCTTGATCGAAGGAATAATCACTATGAAGATGACGGACAAAGAAAGAGGACAAAATATACAGTTCCTCAGGTAGACAAAGGAACAGCCCTTCACTTCTATTATGTAAAAATGTGTTGAACAGGTGTCACATGCATATTCACCTATTTTACTCATTTTTACATAAAAGCAGTGAAGGGATGTTCCTTTGTGTACCTTAGGAACTGTATATTTTGACCTCTTTCTTTGTCCGTCATATTCATAGTGAATAATAGTCATATTGTAAAGCGCTATTTACTACGTTTCTGAGCCATTTAAATTGTTATTATCATTATTTCCCCTGTCATTGGATTCAATTCCAGATCCGCACATGACGGTGCACACGCTGCGCTCCCTGAGGAGTAGTTCGGCCATGCGCCACTTTACAAGCGCACACATGCCAATCCAACAACACTAACGCTCGCTTCCAACCGGGTACCAATTTAACACCTGGATGGAAAGTGGCATATGTAGATTAATGTCTCGCAAAAGGAAAAATATTTCCAGCCGGCACTTGTACCGCGAACCATGAACCATGTGATATTGGTCGAATAGTTTTTGAGCGTCGAGTAACACCTGGCTAGAATGCTCCCCAGGGAGTGGAGATTGCGCACACAGTGTGTGTGGGTAAGCACTGAATCCAATGACCGGGGTTATAGTATATCTTTAAAGTGCTTAGAGACAATGTATTAAGCGCTATATACGCGAAATATTAGTATTGTTATCATTATATACAGTCCGGGGCGTAACCACTAGACCATTTGACCACTGCACCACACATCGATATGACTATAACTATTTTAAAGATGGACTAGCCTACCGGAATTAGGAGTAGCCGAGAACGATGATACGGACAGGGAGTCCCCATCGGAGGAGAGAACGAGACCTTCACCGGTAGACAGCTCAGCCACGTCTTCAGCGAGAGAATCAGCCACATCTTGGGTGGTAGCAAAGACTTGAATCTCTAATTCAGCGACAATGCTGCCAGGATTGAACGAATTGGCTACACAGTCCAGTCTACGAAGATCTGATCCTAGCTCCCGCTCGAGATGATTCGTGGCCTGTCAAGAAAACGATATCGACACAGTCTCTTGTTTAAATGGGTTTTATGGACCTCGTTCACTTTATGTGTGATACGAAACATATTGAGAGAGAAAAGGGTGATAGAAAATTAGAGGGAGGCATAGAAGCTTTACTTTAATAGACTGAGCTTTTCATCTATTACAAATAAGAAAATATTCTGCAATCTCCGAATGAAGGTACATTATTGCGGAATTAGGAAGTGCATAGCAATATAAAAACTTCGGGTTTTTTCGGCCATCTTTTCAGATACAAATCTCGTGAAATTTCGATAGTATATCAGGAACTCATTTTCAGAAGTATGAACCATTTGTATTGAACCCTTTAATTTTTTTCGGAATCGTGAACCCTCTCTCAATATGTACGAACCTTCGGAAAAAACGAACCTTCAGAATAATGGACTTCGGAAAAATGACATGTAACAATGTTTACGTACCACTCCGCAGTAGATTGTTTCAAGTTTCTTGAAAGCAGGGGAGGCCATGTTGGTCAGGTCAGTTGTGTACATCAGTTCTTCGCCATTAAGGGTTTCACCGGTTATGGTCAGTGTCAGAGTACTCCCAGATAACACTGTATACAATAACGGTGAAGACAAAATAATACAATCATAAGGAAATCCACTTTTATGCTGAGTTCTTATGCACTGGCAGGCTTACCTGCACACCATGTAATATGCACATTCTCACCCGAGTGCACCCCTTGGCCATGCCTCATTATGGATTCTTAGATTTGCACGTTGACAAAGTGGACTGCTGCGTGTGACGTTCTTTTAAAGGACGTCACATGTGACTGACAGTACCTTAAAAGGATGTTACACGTAGCAGTCCACGCACATCTAGAAGTCCCTATTAAATAGACGCCCCCAAAGATGCTGAGTAAACCACAATGACTTTCGCATCATACCGGGTACCTATTTAATGCCCGGTTGAGAGTGGCAGACAATTGGATTAATGGCTTGCCAGAGAACGTTAGTCGTATTAATCCTAGGCTAGGATTCGAACCCTCGACCTTTTGATTGAGATTCAACCACTATAGGCCTACTAATACACCATGACACCTTTGCTAGTCAAGGCATCTCCTATTCTTGGGCAGGTGTGGCCACCCTAGGTACGAAATCGTTTAAACTCACCGGTAAATGCCGTCTCCAGTGCATTGCAGATTTCTTTAACTCCATTGTAACCGGTGTATCGAGATATCAGGTAGCTCGTGACTTCAAACCCAGGAACAGTGATGCGAAGGGCAGGCTCGATGATGTCATCAATTGCGTCATTCCCAATCATCATACATCTGTCTACGTCGGTGAAGATATTGACGAGACTCTCAAGAGCATCCCTCCCAAAGGCCCTCCGTTCTGCCCCTATGTGTGCACACGAGATAGAATACAAAATATTTTAAAGAATGGAACAATCGGACACAACTTATATAGAGAGATACCAAACGAAAATTCCATGCGACGCAAATGCAACAAAATGTCTTTGACTCTACAAAATCATGTAAAAACTTATATGCAGTATTTCAGAATTATTTTAAGAATTATGTTAGATAATAATATGAAAGACATATTGTTAGTCCTATGTGAAGAATAATTTTTGTAAATCCTAAGGCAAAAGTTACGGCTTTATATTTGATAAGCTTCAGGACAGACAAAACCACCCACACACTGAGTGTAAGCTTCCTGTCGGAAGGGCTGGTCCGATATCATCAAGGTACTATTGGGGTGAAAGTCCGTATTAGTCCTGAATGCCTTACCTCCATCTGATAGAGCCTGTTGAATGGCCTCGCAGAAAGCATCTCTGCTAGCATGTCCAAGCATTCGAGATCCTATATCTGCCGCATCGTAGATGATTTGATAGTAGGGCGACATCTTGGAGATCCCGACACTTGGAAGGAACTCTTCCCAATCTGCACAAACGTAGGTGTCTGCTTGAGGAAGCAATGCGCTAGTCAGCTCAGCGAGAAACCTGGTGGCCACTTCGGGTAATGATGGTTCTAGAAGCTGCTTGATGTTGGGACATACGGTGGATTGGTCGGAGATGTTCAAGCCGTAGAGGTCTTTGGTGATATTACTTAGGATTCCGATGAAATCAAACATATTATCTTCCTCCGCCATATCTGCTTGCCTCCGCTTCCTGTTGCCGTCCTCCGTGGATATCAAATCAGTAAAAACAGCTGTTAAATCAGTGCACGAACTCTCTGCGTCGAAGACTGCCAGGTCGTTGGCTGCTACAAGTACCTCTCTGCAGACTGGCTCATAATAAGCAGAGAACGTGCGGAAATCGGGTATCATGGACTCAAGCTCTGGCAGGATCTCAGTGCATCCGAAGGCTAGAGAATCAATGGTACGTTCCTGGATCCATACTCCCCCTGCGGCGTTGATAAAGAACTCGACAGTCAGATTAGTGTCTGGGATGAACCGGAATGGAACTGGGTCTGGTAGATCCACCACAGCTGGGGTTTGAAAGAAGGAGAAACAATAAATATTAACAAAAACGATCGCAAGGATTTTAAAGAAATCAGCGCAAAGACAAATTCTGGTACCTATTGGTCCCTTAAGGCTTAAAAAAAAATAGATATGGGGCTTTGTTTTTGTTAACGTTGGCTTTTGTTTGGGGGGGGGGGGGTTACGTGTATATGAAGGGCAACTGAGCTCTGTGTCATAACATATAGACATGTGAAACGTATTGCACCTTATGTAATCATAATTTTTTGTTTAAAGCCGAAGTTTTGCCGCGCCTTGTCTGGACGAGCCGTTAGAAACATGTTCAGCTTTAATACGTAATTACTCACTATAATTGGCGCATTTCAATTTGTGCCTACATTTGATTTTCGAAAATATTTGAAATCGTGATAATACTTCTCTGGTAAAAGCAATGTCATGGTTTGCGCCTACTTAAACTGTACCACATGCCCATGTTATAGATCTTTTGGAAATATTAAAATAATAATTATCACATGAACATAAATCTAACTCAATTAAGAAAAATATATCGGTTTACTAACTTACTGATTTATGGATGTTTCTTTCCTAGGGGACATATTGTGACGAATTATTTATTAGCCTTTTATCTATGAATGAACTACCTTACTTTGAATCCAGTCAGGATACGTTAGATGCTGCTATGTATGGCAAGCCTCGGGCAAGCTGTCAGGTTGTCAAGAACAACATTTGTTTAAAAAGTATGCATACGAGTTGAATATGTTAGTAAACCGGTCCATTACTTGAGGAAGTGGCAGATCTACGATTTAGACAGACATAGAGAGGGCCAAAAAATGGTAACAGCCACCGATTTTACATGCTTGCTGGGCTACGCCCCTCGAAAAAGGTAATACGGTCACGTGGCTTGATGACGCATTTGACGTCATTGCAGGCATGTCCGATTTGATAATTTGATCATTTCATAATTAGGAATGTCGAAATTGCCAGAAACGTACTGGGATTATCAAGTGCATATTATTTTTCGGATAAATGTCCTTTGATTCAATTAATATGATATTTAACTTCTTTAAAGACATTTTAATGCCTAAATCACCCTCCTTTTCACCGCAGAGATGCCTGCAGTGACGTCAAATGCGTCATCACCGAAACTGGGCTTTTTTCCTGCGCGTTCTGAGTCGTCATTTTTTAAGCTAGGTTCCAGAATTTTGTATGATTTCTAAGAAAAATCATTTTCATATTCGGAAACTCCGTCAAATTTATTCTACATGTATTTTTTCCATTTTTTTTTTTAGCTTGTTTTGGTTAGAGTGACCCTTTAACTCTGCATGTGTTGCCCCTTCTTTTTCTTTGAATGATACGATAAATGCAGTCTACTGATAAATAAGTGAATAAATAGATACTCATGATGATAAGCTTACTTGTGAAAGCATTCTCTACGAAGATGCAGAGCGAATCGAGGGGGTTCGGTCCTTGGAATCCCGTGTACTGGTAAATCTGTTCATCGGAAATCACCATTACGTCAATACTGCCGATGTTGATGGCTGGTTCGATGACGTCATAGACTAGGCCATTGGCCAGCATTGAACACCTGGCGGCGTTTGTCGGGATTTCTAAAAGGCTGAGAATTAAATCCGTTGAGAATTCCCGTCTCGCTTCACCATTGTCACCTGTATTGAGACGAAATAAATAAAACAAAAATAAATATGCAAACAAACAATAACCAAAAATATAACAACAGCAGATAAACAAACAAACTAAACAATAATTTGGGTGTGGTTAAATATGACATAAGAAGATTTTAATCGTTGCAAAGGACATTTAAAACTCATCAGGGAATAAGATCAATAATGTTGGAGTAATCCTAACAGCACTAAAGACACGTTGTACTAGCTTCTCTTGCATATTTCATAATTGTGATTAAACCAATAAAGCGCAGGTTGGATTTCTGGTATTGACCATATAAAATACTTTGTAATCCTGATCGTTATTTGGATAGTAGTTTGGCAGTTTATCAAGTAGAAATCCCCCCTGAAATGGATTCATTTTCATCTGCCCATATATTCACTAGTATGACACGAGCTGAAAAGTTAAGCCCCAAATTTTAATGCCACAGGTTTGATGTAAAGATATTTAATATCCATATCCAGTACCTATGAGATGCGGGGAAGGGGGTGGAAATTCTATGCCATTTTTCTTTCATTTTCATTATTCCAAAAAACGTGTCAGTAAATCAACTCTTCCTTCTAAATCAACCTTTTTACAATATAATCTCATGACTAGTACCCAAATTTATCATTCAATGAAACCCGTACCTTGGACGGAGAGTGTTTGAGTGATAGCTTGACAGAGTTCCTCTCTGCTGTCGTACCCCACGGCTTGGGATCCTATACGAGCATTACCCTCGATGTTAGGATAGTATGGAGAGGTAGAGTTTATCCCTAAGTTCTGGAGGAAACCATCCCAGTCTTGGCACAGTGGAGCTGCCTGGGGAAGCAACGCACTCAGGAGCTCAGCCCCGAACTGAGAAATCAAATCTTGAAGAGATGGTCTCAAGAAATACTCCTTGACGTTGGTGCAGATGGTGTTTATTGTAGATTGGTCATTGATGATCATGTTGATGTCGATTCCATAGAGGTCTCTGGTGATGTTGGTCAGGATTTTAAGGATACCCAGGGGATCTTCCATGTAGTCAGGGTATCCCATGGTTGGTTCCGCTTGTCTGCGATATCTTTCGTCACTGCCCTGGCCCTGGGACGTCAAGTTGGTGATCATAGTGATTATGTCATCACACCACCCCGTTGCGTCAAAGGCATCTAGATCATCAGAAGCTTCGATGATGTCATCACAGATCGGACCCCAATACAGACTTGACTGGTCCACCTCTGGTATTACCGAACCTATATAAGGTAGGACATCTCTGCAAGCATAGGCCAAGGAATCAATGACACGATCCTGCTGCCAGATGCCGCCAGCAGCGTTGATCAGATGTGGGATTGTAAGCCCAGGAACGATCTCTCCTGGGTTGACGAATTCCATTGCAGGTAGCGTAGTATTCTGACCCGATACTATGGCAACCAGCAAAGTGATCGCAAGAACAGGAAACGCCTTCATGGTAGACACGCTCTTGGATCTAACGCTGTGGTGTTATCTGACGAAAATTAACTCCTTAGTATCTGTATTTGAAGAGCTTGATTCCAAAAGGAGCTAAATCCACTTTTGATGAAAATTGAGTTATTGATATCAGAACATTGTTCACTTAAGTACCCGTCTTTCAACAAAATTATTTACCTAAAATTTGGGAGCAATTGTGAAAAAACGCACCTTCCAACATCACTTTACCATAGACGCCTGTACAAAATCTGGTAAACAATGTCTTTTTTCTCCGAAGTTACAAACATGGATTTAGCTCCTTTTGGAATGAAACTCTTCATTTAACAAAAAAATGGCACGGCGGACAGAAAAGTGATTAGTAACTTTATACAATTCTTGTACTGAAATGAACTCCTTAGTTTATGCATTAAAATAAATAGTGTAGAGGACATAAAAGTGATTCTTGAACGAAAATAAAATCCTTAGTTTCTGTAGAAAAAAACAAAGCGCGTAGAGGACATAAAAGTGATTCGTAACTTCCTGTACAAAAATGAACTTCTTATTGTTTGTATTAGAATAAATAGCGTAGAGGACATAAAAGTGATTCGTAACTTCCTGTACAAAAATGAACTTCTTATTGTTTGTATTAGAATAAATAGCGTAGAGGACATAAAAGTGATTCGTAACATCCTGTACAAAAATTAACTTCTTATTTTTTGTATTAGAATAAATAGCGTAGAGGACATAAAAGTGATTCGTAACTTCCTGTACAAAAATGAACTTCTTATTGTTTGTATTAGAATAAATAGCGTAGAGGACATAAAAGTGATTCGTAACTTCCTGTACAAAAATGAACTTCTTATTGTTTGTATTAGAATAAATAGCGTAGAGGACAGAAAAGTGATTCGTAACTTCCTGTACAAAAATGAACTTCTTATTGTTTGTATTAGAATAAATAGCGTAGAGGACATAAAAGGGATTCGTAACTTCCTGTACAAAAATGAACTTCTTATTGTTTGTATTAGAATAAATAGCGTAGAGGACAGAAAAGTGATTCGTAACTTCCTGTACAAAAATGAACTTCTTATTTTTTGTATTAGAATAAATAGCGTAGAGGACATAAAAGTGATTTTTAACTTAATAACATTCTTGTACGAAAACGGAATTCTTGGTTTCTGTAAAAAAAAAAAAAAAAGCATAGAGGACAAAAAAGTGATTAGTAACTTTAAAACATTATTGCACTTATTTGTCATTTACTGTCACTCTCCACACGAGAAAGCTCTCTCAGTATTAACAGAAGAGGACTATCTCTATCTGTCTCTCTCCTTCTCTCTCTCTCTCTCTTCCTCCCCCTCTCTCTCTCTCCTTCTCTCTCGCTTTCTCTCTTTTTATTTCTCTCCTAGTATTCTATTTTTATTTCAGTTCAATGGAATGATAGTCAAATGATACCGCATGTATGTACCTGCCGACTGAACTAAATGGTATCGGTGCAATGAACAAACTCCAGTGCTGGTGCCTAAAGATAATGCTTCAGTTCATCTTGATTGACCATAGTGACGATACAAGAAAGCAATAAGATAGCCTGCGACCTTTTCATAATATATATGTTTATATGTAAAATAATTAATTGAATTGGGATAGTCCTCCATCACGGCAAAATACAAGAACTGATCAGAACATTTGAAATACAAATCCTTGAGAGTTCATTTTAATATTTACTTTAACCAGTTTCAATCTTATTTCTTCAGATAGTGCATTTGAAATTGTGAATACATATATGTTTTATTAACAGGACATTTATATATATGTAACCCTTAATGTATGCATTAACAGGACATCTATATAATATGTAACCCTAAATGTATGCATTAAGGCGAGGCGTCAAAAATATCGATACCAGCAGGCTGCCGCCTCACGTATTGGCGCATCGAGGCTGCAATTACGGCCGAAGCCTGGCTGGGGCAATTATTTTTCACTTATTAGCCCAGCCGGCTTGCGCCAGGCTGGGATCTGAGGCTCGGTTTCCATTCGAAAGGCGGCAGCCGGCGCATGCTTTTGTTCGGAGACCATTATGATGACATCATGAGTCAATTGAGGGTCCTACCGCCAGCGGTAGCCGGCTGAGCTAATTTAAAAAATGCAGCCAGGACGCACAAGTGCAGTTAGCTGCCGCTGGCTGGTATATTTATTTTTGACGCCTCGCCTAACAGGACATCTTAAAAACCGGTATATTACCCTAACCCCAGGTTTTCATTCAATATATAACTAATTAAAGTAATGACTAATGATTAAACTTATTGTTTCTTTGGAGGCCTTTAAGTTTTCTCTGCCTGCAACGTACGTAGAGGGCAGTAATTATATTGTTCACTCGTTAGCAGGACACGAAAATGTCATTTGTCACTGATGACAAGTTTTGTGAAACGCCCCCCTGATTGTTCAATCATTTCATAAAACCTCGAATAGTTCCCTCCCACATAGATTATGGAAGAGAGAAAACCTCCTAGGAGCTCCATGATTTAACCTAAAGCTGTTCTCGCTTTCGCATGTCACAACTATATTTAGTTAATCGATTCGCTATGAAAGAAAATTATGTTCATACATGTTCGTAGCACTTGGTTCGACCAAGATTAACTTTAGGTCTGTTTCGTGTTCATACAATATCCGGAGCAGGATATTTTTCACAAACTATTACAGTCTACATGAAGATACGGGTATTTTAGATGATGATTATGATGATGATGTTGATGCATGATGATGATGATGGTTATGATGATGGTGATGAAGATGATGATTATGATTATGATTACGATGAATGTTATTTTGAGGAGGATTATTATGTTGATGATGATTTTGATGAGGATGCTGTGATGATTATGATGGTGACGGGGGTTTCTTGTATTAGACATATCGGCTTTTTTTTTAGTAAATTGGTTGGACTTAATGATTTATACGATGATGATGTTGATGCATGATGATGGTGGTGGTGATGATGATGGTGATAATGATGATGATGAAGGTGAAGATGATTATGATTATGATTACTATGAAGTTTATTATGATGAGGAGGAGGATGATGAGGATGATAATGATTATGATGGTGACGGTTGTTTCTTGTAAGACATAACGGCTTTTTATAGTTAATTGGTTGGACTTTACCAATTCGACAAATGATGTACATAACATGGATCTGGTCTAATATATTTTGAGGACTGTAGACCTATACATGAATTATTTGGGAGGTTTGAATAAGCCTACGACAAAGTCGACCTGTGAAAAAAGGAATTGCCTAGAGCCATTTAGAAAAGACTGATCATGATGTCTGCATGTACCTGAAAATTTTGAAATGATCATAATGAAAATCTAGTATAAAAATATTCCGATTTAGAATATGAGGGAATTTTTTTCGGTTCCGGTTCCAGTATTTCTACCATCAGTGGTTATTAAATGCAAACACTGAGAGACCTCACATTTGTCATCTCTACCTGAACTCATTAATTCGCAGCAAGCCAATCGCGTTATTATCAATTCATTTATTAATATACCACATACTTTGCTTACTCTATATAAATTCAGTATATATCACCCCTAAATTATTTCTACCATTGTTATGTACCGCTTTTTATCTTTTATTTGCATTTGAAATCCAACCTTTTGGTTGCAATGAATACACAAAAACATTATTAGACCAAGGCTATGTCGGTCCGAAGTACTGTAACAGGAAATAAAAGTTGCCAGTCACGTCCATCACGACCACAACACGAAAAGAAAATTAATTTGGTGGTTTTCCTTTTCCCCCGAATGTACTATGCAATTGGAGGTACAAACCGCGCAATTGTAAACACACGCTACAAGGGCAAATTTTGATATACCTATTAGACCGCTTTTGTGTGAACCCGGACATGATCATTACTCATCAAAACGTACTTTACTCATGAATTCGCAAAACTAATATTTTTTTATTCCAATTAAATGCCCTTGGTTCGCTAAATACGACCTCGGAAGCAATGGGCATGAAAACTGCACGTACACAGACAGAAGTTACTTATCAATAAACATCTCTATATTTACCTTTGTCCCCATGGTTCTAATGTAAGCCGTCACAGTGCAAGATAATGAATACATACCTCCCACAATAAGTGGACAAAATTGCATGATCAATTGTCAGATCGAGCATAAAGAAATAATTTCAATAGCTCAATTGAAAAAGTTAGTATAATACACATGTAGATTGATTGATTGATTTTTATTCGACAAGCTTCCAACATACAACAATATACAATAATAAAAGATCAAAAATAAGTCAGCTTGAACAGGATGACCCACGAAAGCTCGAGAGCTTATTTCCAGTGGGGTCCCTTACAGACATGTATCAAATTAATAAGTTAAAATAGTAATATTTACAGACAGATAAGAAAATTAAAAGAACTACTTACTAAAGATAATAATAATAATAATAACATTAAACTGATGATAGAAATGATATTAAGTACACGAAGAAAAAGAAGAAGGAGAAGAAGAAAAAGAGGAGAAGGAAGAAGAGGAAAATAATGATGAATTTGTAGAATTTCTATAACGTACGAAAACATAAGTAAGTGCACGTTAGTATCCTTCCATAATAATGGCTATTTGTGGCATACTGTTTACACTGATTTGGGGATGGACTTCATAAAAGCTGGTTTTTTTATTTGTAAATTAAACGTAGAGTGATTACAACTGTCGAAATTCCATACGTATTAAACGACATGGTTTGCAGCAATAAGCTGAAATGCATAGGCATATACAAGATAACATTAAAATTCAAAATGCATCTATATATTGTGGTATAAAACTATTCAATGCCAGCATTGGGAGAAAAATTTCAGTTGCTGCCGCTTTTTTGGTTATTACGTAATATATCGTTTAAATATTTTCAGTTAAACAAACTTGAATCTTTAAATCACGATCAAATTCAAAGATTTCATCATTGTGTTTTAATGATATGCGTCATACTGTTGAAATGATTTAAAATTTACGTCATAATTTTGGAACAACTAGATTCGCAGTCCATGTATATATAAATACATAATAAATACATTATAATACATAAATGTACGAAAATAGCATATACCGTAGTTTGGCAACTCTCGCGAAAACGAATACAATGCGAAAGAAAGTGTGACGATTCCCTATTTCCTTTCAAATTGCACACAGACACACACCTCCACACGGAGACACACATTCATACATATATATTATATACAATGTTGGAGTTAAAAATAGTTGTGGGCTTGGGAATACTCCCAACAACAACAAATGAACAAGTTAAATATAAATCATTCCGTGAAACGTCTGAATGTTCGTATGGTCACAAAGACATGTATTCAGCTTCATGACGGAATCATTTATTTATTTTCAACTTGTGTTATGTATCATATATATATATATATATATACAGTGCGTCCCAGAAAAAACGAAACCGAAAAGTATCGATGTCTTATTATAACTTAATCACAATCATAATTAATGAATGATACATATTTGGAAAGCTTAGAGTCTCCTCTTTCAGTTGATGCTACTCAGATGATGCATATTTCACGCATGAGTGATTAAAATCAATTTGAAGAAAGAAAACCAAAAAAGACATTTGGCGGGCGACATCTGAATTTCGTTTAATAAAATTATGGAAATGCAGCATTACTTTAAACAAACAGAACTTTGTCATTCCTCGCTATTTTTCCCGATTGAGGTGTAATATGAAAGGGCAGAAACTCAATTTTTTTAGAAATGTGAATTTTTCCTCGAAATTTAGATACCGCCCGCCAAATGTCTTTTTTGGTTTCCTTCCTTCAAATTGCTTTTAATCACTCATGCGTGAAATATGCATCATCTGTGTAGCATCACATGAAAGAGGAGACTCTAAGCTTTCTTTCCATATATGTATCATTCATTAATCATAGTTGTGATTAAGTTATGATAGAACATCGATACTTCTCGGGTTTTTTTTTTTGTTGGGACGCACTGTATAGAGAGAGAGAGAGAAACAATATACTTATACCTATTGTAAATATAATGTTTATTTGAGTGGGTTTGACTTAACTTAAGAATGAAGGGTGGACAGGTTAAATTAGGGCGCCTTATACATTTATATGTAAATTATCAAGAAAAATAAATCGGGACAAATCAATTTTACACATACTGAAAGAAAATTATAAAACACTGGATAAGGATATGAATAATTTATTCGTTATCTGTAAATATTATATGATGTTATATAAAAAGATGTTGTTTACCTGAGCTTTTTACTGGATGGCACTGCACTACGGAAATTTACTTCTGTGAAAGCCTTTTGGAAAAAAAGAATGATGCTGCTTCACCTTGTTCACATGTAGTCTGCTCACTTCAGTACCTCAATGTGATTATTTCAAAGAGTTTAGAAACATTGCATTATTATAACGATGCGTATTTGTCATTTTATTGACATGCTATTGCATTGCAGTGGAAAATATTATTAGGCTCCGCCCCTCGTGAAGGAATGACACATCATTGACCAATCAGAGAGTTCGTGATTAATGGATTTCTTAAAAACAAAGGAGATAGAAATACCCTGTGTGTAGAGAGAGAGAGAAAGAGAGAGAGAAAGAGAGAACCAGGACACGATTTTTTTTTCTTATGAAAATTGTATGACTTTTCGTTCAGTTGTTTCGATCCTAAAAATAGAAACACGTAACTTGTTATATGCATCAGGAAGCATCAAGTATAAGTGCCAGGACTGCTATTCAGAAAGTAAGAACTTTTAAAGAGAAATCCTACCCTAACAAGCAAACTATTTTAGACTAAAGGAAGAGCAGAAAAACAGAGAAGCAGACTGGTGAAAGTTTAAAAGGAAATCGGACAACAAGTTAGAAAGTTATGAATTTTTGAAAGATTTTTTGTTAATGCTTTGTTAGCTTGTTTGCATTAGGCTTTTTTGTTTGTTAAGTTGTTGTATGTGTGCGTGTGTGTATGTGTGTGAGCGCGCGTGTGCGTGTGAGTGTATATTAGAGAAAAATTGAGAGAGAGAGAGAGAGAGAGAGAGAGAGAGTATGATAGTTAAGGGTTGTAAAAACATTGAAAGAGAGAGAGAGAGAGTTCTTCGGGCGACATCATTACCAAAACATATTGACTCAGACAATACGTCGTAATGGTGCAAGGTCATTCATTGTAGTAAACACAGAAACATCAGAGGACACGATTTTGTTTTCTTATGAAAATTGTATGACTTTTCGTTTAGTTGTTTCGATCCTAAAAATAGAAACACGTAACTTGTTATATGCATCAGGAAGCATCAAGTATAAGTGCCAGGACTGCTATTCAGAAAGTAAGAACTTTTAAATAGAAATCCTACCTAACAGCAAACTATTTTAGACTAAAGGAAGAGCAGAAAAACAGAGAAGCAGACTGGTGAAAGTTTAGAAGGAAATCGGACCAAAAGTTAGAAAGCTATGAATTTTTGAAAGTTTTTTTGTGTGATTTGTTAGTTATGCATTGGGATTTGTTGTTTGTTATGCACTTGTAATGACCGTCAATCGGGGAGGTTCATATGAATACACAACTTCCAACTGTGGAGACACAGCAAACCGTGGAGCTCCACAGTTGCAGAATCATTAAAACGAGATTTAAATCAGCTTTGGGACATCTCAGTAGTACCCCATCAACGTTCGGCTGCGATTTAACTCCATCCCCGGTTTCCCACTTTGGAGTCATAGCTTGCAGCCTGAATATGTGTATTATTTTCCGATCTCAAGAATAATATCAAGTGAAGAGCGCCAGCATGAGGATACACACTGCACAGTCTGTATCTTATTAGATGCAGCGCATGCGCAGTGCTGGTGCAGTGCACCTTGCGACGTGCCTGTTAACGTATATGGACATGTCATGGCGGGATTAGTACAGCCACAACTGGCAAAAGTAAGTAGAACTAGTCTAGATCTAGAAAGTTTACTTTCATTTTTAATCCAGTCTAGGCCCATTAATATTCTATCAACTTTTTAAAGAATTCCTTAGGCCTATAGATCTAGTTCTATTCATGATATTGGGTACAAAAAACTCATACATAGTCTAGATCTAATCTAGATCTAGTAGATCTAAGTAAGATGTAGATCTAGGCCTAACGTTAGGCCTAGACCTAGACTAGTACTACTAGTCTAGGCTACTAGTAGTAGTAGATCTAGGTCTAGTATAAGTTCTTCTTAGGCCTAACTTTAGAGTTAAACTAAAGGAATATCTAGTAACGTTAGATTCGAAGGTCTATTTCACATCAGCCAGATTTAGCCTAAATGTGTGCATGGGAAATGTGGAGCCATAGGTCTAGGCCTATCTGTATATAACTCACATGGGCCAGATGTGTATAAATGTGTGCATGGGAAATGTGGAGCCATAATAATCTGGGTCAGATGTGTATAAATGTGTGCACGGGAAATGTGGAGCCATAACTAGATATAGATCTACATGGGCAATATGTGTTTAAATGTGTGCATGGGAAATGTGGAGCCATATATATATATATATTACACATGGGCCAGATGTGTATAAATGTGTGCATGGGAAATGTGGAGCCATATATATATATATATATATTACACATGGGCCAGATGTGTATAAATGTGTGCATGGGAAATGTGGAGCCATATATATATATATATATATATATATATATATAATGGGCCAGACGTGTATAAATGTGTGCATGGGAAATGTGGAGCCATATATATATATATATATATATTACATATGACCCAGATATGTATAAATGTGTGCATGGAAAATGTGGAGCCATGTTTAACTGAACTATTTAAGGTGGATTGAAGACTTATAAATGTGTGCATGGGAACTGTGGAGCCATTATACATGGGCCAGATTTGTATAACTGTGTGCATGGGAAATGTGGAGCCATATATATATATATATATATAATGGGCCAGACGTGTATAAATGTGTGCATGGGAAATGTGGAGCCATATCTATATATATATTACACATGACCCAGATATGTATAAATGTGTGCATGGAAAATGTGGAACCATGTTTATCTGAACTATTTAAGGTGGATTGAAGATGTATAAATGTGTGCATGGGAAATGTGGAGCCATATATATATATATATTACACATGGGCCAGATGTGTATAAATGTGTGCATGGGAAATGTGGAGCCATATATATATTACACATGGGCCAGATGTATAAATGTATGCATGGGAAATGTGGAGCCACATATATATATTACACATGGGCCAGATGTGTATAAATGTGTGCATGGGAAATGTGGAGCCATATATATATTACACATGGGCCAGATGTGTATAAATGTGTGCATGGGAAATGTGGAGCCATATATATATATATTACACATGGGCCAGATGTGTATAAATGTGTGCATGGGAAATGTGGAGCCATATATATATATATATATATATATATATTATACATGGGCCAGATTTGTATAAATGTGTGCATTGGAAATGTGGAGCCATATCTATATATATTATACATGGGCCAGATGTGTATAGATGTGTGCATGGAAAATGTGGAGCCATATATATATATTACAAATGGGCCAGATGTGTATAAATGTGTGCATGGGAAATGTGGAGACATATATATATTACACATGGGCCAGATGTGTATAAATGTGTGCATGGGAAATGTGGAGCCATATATATATTACACATGGGCCAGATGTGTATAAATGTGTGCATGGAAAATGTGGAGCCATATATATATATTACAAATGGGCCAGATGTGTATAAATGTGTGCATGGGAAATGTGGAGACATATATATATTACACATGGGCCAGATGTGTATAAATGTGTGCATGGGAAATGTGGAGCCATATATATATTACACATGGGCCAGATGTGTATAAATGTGTGCATGGAAAATGTGGAGCCATATATATATATTACAAATGGGCCAGATGTGTATAAATGTGTGCATGGGAAATGTGGAGCCATATCTATATATATATATTACACATGACCCAGATATGTATAAATGTATGCATGGGAAATGTGGAGCCATATATATATATATATATATATTACACATGGGCCAGATGTCTATACATTTGTGCATGGGAAAATGTGGAGCCATTTATATATTACATATATGCCAGATGTGTATAAATGGGTGCATGGGAAATGTGGAGCCATGTTTATCTCAACTATTTAAGGTGGATTGAAGATGTATAAATGTGTGCATGGGAAATGTGGAGCCATATCTATATATATTACACATCAGCCAGATATGTATAAATGTGTGCATGGGAAATGTGGAGCCACATTTATTATTGCATATGGGCTAGATACATGTATGTATAAATGTGTGCATAGGAAATGTGGAGCAATCTATATCTATTGCAAATGAGTCAAATATGATAAGATGTGTGCATGGGAAATGTGGAGCCATGTATTTACATGACCCCCTTGATGTACATCATAATGGATGTGTTTCATAATACCTCATGATTTTAACAAATAATATAATAAAATTGAGCATGGATATGAGTAGCAATATTTTGGCAAATTCCAGTATGATAAGGGGGAGGATGTGGGGGGGGGGGTGTAATATTTAGATATTTTCTTCCAGCTTGCTCACAGCTGTGTTTCTGCATAATATTACTAATATTTACTTGACCTATTTCAGAATCGGATTCTCAGAAGTCAAACCAGACAGACAGTTCCAGATATTTTTAGTGAAGTTGATCCTGAAGGATTTACAGTGAAACAGCTGCCTGACAAAGGTGAGTGAGGTTACATACATGTACATGTAGATTGTATTAATAGTGAAAATTCACTGTAGCATAGATATCTAACATTAATATGCTCAATAAAATATTGATTCAGAGCTAGACTATGCAAGGAACGCCTGGTATGGTTCTTTGATCACACCTCATCGCCTATTGTCTGAAAATCACCAGCTCTTTTCAGAGTAACTTTGATACCCTTCGCAGTTAAACAGGTCAACTTCTTTAGTAAAATCTATACCCTTTCTGTATATTTCATTAATTTCATGCAGTAGAATATTTGATATGCTTTCCCTCATATTTTTCTGTTTTTATAATCTTAATTCAACACTTAATTGCGTGAAGCAGTCTTCAATGGCAAAGTGTTGAAAATAGAATCAATTACCACTACTGCATTTTCGTCTACAAAATACTCAATAATCTAGCCCCTTATTTAGAATCTTTTGGTCATAATCGTCCAGTTTACTTTATTACTTGTCATTCTACCTTAAATCCCTTATTTATCCTGAAACCAAAGACTGAATTTAAAAAACGTTCTTTTTCTTTCACTGCTCCAAGCATCTATAACAATCTACCGACTCATATTCGCACGGCAACTTCACTCCAAATGTTAAAAAACCAAATTAAGTCACTCCCTC